AGACAAAAGAGAAGAGAGCAAGAAAACCAAGTCTCACAACAATCAAATCAAGCATGACAAAGATCAGCCAAGGAAAAAAAAGTTTATTCCCAGATGTTGAAGATCAAAGTGAGATACTAAACAATTCACTAGTACATTTGAAAGAGAATGAACTTCCGGAAGCCAACAAGAAGGTCAACAAAGCTAAAGGAAAATTCCAGTCAAGAGCCACAATCCCCACCGATGTGACTCTAGAAAGTGAAAGGAATAGAGAGGAGAAGAATTACACAGGGGATAGTCCTTTTTTTGGTCTAGATACTAATTTAGCTATATCAATGGCTGGAAGAAGAGCTAAAGAGAAGGAAACCATAGAGGAGCAAGACTTAATGAACTTGGGGGAAAACAATGTACTTGACATCCATAAAGAAGTGGAAGTGAAGGAAGACACATCTACCAAAGATTGTGAGAATGATATAGTAATGGAGATCGAGCCGGGAGACTTTGAATCCAGCAAGTCTGATGATGAACAAGTTAGAGGATCGTCAAACTCTCTAACCTGTGAAGTTCTAGCTGACACCCCTATAGAATTGCAACACAATGTTATCCTCTTTAACAATCTGTCTCCACGAGGGCAATACAATTCCATAGAAAAAGAAGTGAATAATGCCCCCTTAGGTAAGGCAGGCAACAATAACAACAACAACAAAGGACAAAAAGGCTCTAACTCTAATGTTTCCCATGATTAATACAATCTCATGGAATATTAGGGGCATAAGGTCCCAGGGTGCTACGGAAAGACTCAAACTACTCAAGCAACAATATAGATTTCCTTACATGTTCATTCAAGAACCTATGGTAAGGGCTAAGAAGATTGATAGTTTCAAAAGAAAACTGGGATACCAGTATTGCTTCCATAACTGCTCAAATAAGATATGGATATTCTGGTCCTCCGACTATAATCTGGACATCTTGGAAGATAGAGAACAACAAGTACTTGTGCACATCACTCAGAATCCCGGACCAGTGGACTTTCATTTATCGGTTGTCTATGCTAAATGTGATGAAAACTTGAGAAGGGTCCTGTGGGATGAACTGAGAGCTACTGCTGACAGAATTAGGGGACCATGGGGTGTAGTAGGTGATTTCAATGTCATCTCTGAACCAGAGGAAAAAATTGGAGGGAGACCTTTCAGAATTGAAGAGAGTATTGACTTCATCTCATGTCTATCTGATTGTGATCTACAAGATGGAGGATTTCTTGGCTCAACTTTTACCTGGAGTGACAATAGGGACCCTCCGAATACCATTTGGAAAAGACTAGACAGACTAGTCTATAATGCAGAATGGTTTGATCAATACAATGGCACTGTAATCACTCATTTATCTAGGTCATGCTCAGACCATGCACCTCTCCTCATCACTTGTAAGCCAGACAATGTTGATCATATAAGATACTTTAAGTTTCTTAACATTTGGGTTGAACATGAAGATTATTTGCAAGTTGTCCAGGAAGCATGGTCTGATGTTTCTTTTCAATGCCCCTTATATTCCCTACACCAGAAGATAAAGAGAGTGTGTAAATCTCTTAGCTCCTGGTCAAGGGTGGCTTTCGGGGACATCTATGAAGAACCTAAGAAGCTAGAAATCCTTATTAGGAACCTTGAAGACAATGCTATTGCCAACAACAATCATGAGAATAGATTGAACCTCTCTAAAGCTAGAGCTGAGTATACTAGATTTCTAAAGCTACAAGACAATGTTTTGAGGCAAAAGGCTAGAGTGAAATGGCTTGAAGAAGGTGATACCAACACTGCCTTTTTCCATGGGGTTATTAAAGATAGGAGAAAAAGGCTCTACATACTAAAGATCAAAGATGAGAATGGGAATTGGGTTGAAGGAACTACTGAGATTGCAGACAGTGCGGTGAAATACTTTGAACATATTTTCAGTGCTGAAAACACTATTGAAGACGACTCAATTCTGAATGTGATAAACAGAGTAATCACTGATGAGGAGAACGCCTTCCTGAATGCCATCCCTACTCTCCAGGAGATTAAAGATAGTGTATTTTCTATAGATCCTGATAGTGCTCCTGGACCAGATGGCCTGAGTGGAAAGTTCTACCAAACTGCATGGACTATCGTTGCTGAGGATATTCATAAAGCTGTAGTGACCTTTTTCCAAGGTGCTGTACTGCCTAAGTTCTTCACACACACTTGTGTTATGCTTCCTAAGATTCTCCTCAAGATTTCACTGACATTAGACCTATAAGCTTGTGCAATGTATCTAGCAAAATTATTGCAAAAGTTATTAATGCTAGATTAGCAAAGGTCCTGCCAAGAATCATTAGCCAAAACCAAAGTGGTTTTGTAAAGGGAAGGGCTATTACTGAGAATATCCTACTTACCCAAGAGATTGTTCATGACATTGGCAAACCTATGTGGGGTGGTAATGTGGTTATCAAATTGGACATGACTAAAGCTTATGACAGAGTATCTTGGGCTTTTCTGTGTTTTATGCTGAGGAAATTAGGTTTTGCAGAAAGCTGGATTGATCTCATACATAGATATATTTCGAATATTTGGTACACTCTTATTGTGAATGGTAGCAGACATGGGTTCTTCAAGTCTGGAAGGGGCTTAAGGCAAGGAGACCCTCTTTCCCCCTCTCTCTTTGTCCTTAGTGCTGAATTATTGTCTAAAATGCTTAATGGTATACAAGAAAATAGAAATTACAAGAATTTCTCAATGAACAGACATGGTCCTATCATTAATCACCTTGCATTTGCTGATGACACAATCATTTTTAGTAGTGGGAACAAAGCATCTTTACAGCTGATCCTTAACACTCTTGCAACATATGAAAGAGTCTCTGGTCAATTGATTAACAGGAGCAAAAGTAGCTACACTATGGCCCCCAATGTTACTCAAAGATCTATCACAAGGGTAGGTAGAATATTGGGGATGAGATTTGAAAGGTTACCTATGAAATACCTTGGTTGCACGATCTACTCAGGAAGAAAGAAGCTTTGTTTTTTCTCTACAATGGTGAGTAAGGTTATCAATAAAGTCAAAGGGTGGCATTTGAAGTTTTTATCTGCTGGTGGAAGAGCAGTCCTCATAAGGCATGTACTACAAGCTATTAATATTCACACTTTAGCAGCTGTTCACCCTCCTAAGGGGACTCTTGAACAAATTCAAAAATATATATGTAGATTTTTCTGGTCAGGTAATGAAACTGGTGATAAACACCACTGGGTTTCCTGGAAGAATCTTTGTTATCCATACGAAGAAGGAGGCTCTATGTTCAGAAGCCTGGAAGACACTTGCAAAGCCTTCAATGCTAAGCAATGGTGGAAATTCAGAACCACCAATTCACTGTGGTCTCAATTTTTAAAGGCCAAATATTGCACAAATGTGCACCCTACCAATGTCCAATGGAGACCTGGTCAATCACATTGTTGGAAAGCCATGTGTTAGGTGAGGCATAAAATGGAAGAACATATGTGGTGGAAGGTAGGAAGAGGGGATGTTAATTTTTGGTTTGATAATTGGACTAAACAAGGCCCTTTAAGCAACAAATTGGAAGGTGTGATGGTTCAGCAAAATATTCAATTGTATGAGGTGTATAGAGATGGACAATGGGACTGGTCCAAACTCATACCTCACCCTCCCAATTTTATCAAAGAGATGGTATTGAATACCACATTGAATGTTTCCCAGCAAACACATGATACACCAATCTGGACTTGCTCAGAGAATGGAAAATTTTCTATTGTTTTTGCATGGAACCTTTTTAGACAAAAAAGACATATATCCCAATTTGATAAAAGAATATGGCATAATGATGTTCCATATAAGATGGCCTTTCTTACATGGAAAGCATCCCATGGAAGAATCCCAACTGATGACAAGGTTTCAAAATTTGGTATTCATATTGTTTCTAAATGTTGTTGTATTGGTGCAGGTATGATTCCTGAAGTGGAGACAGTTGAACACCTCTTTTCCAATGGCCGATATGCTCAACAAGTATGGGCCTTCTTTGCAGGAAGGATTGGTATCCCATACAAAACTACATCCCTCAGAACTTTGTTGTTCAATTGTTGGAAGTTCAGAACCAGCAACTCCATCACCTCTTATGTCACTAAAATTATGCCTCCAATACTATGGGAGCTGTGGAGATCAAGATGCAGCTCCAAGTATGAATCAGAAAATCCAGCACTCAATAGATCCATCTCATTGATTACTTTCAACATTAGCTGTGAGCACGTGATTTTTGCCTCACGGAAACTACTCCAAAAGAAATCAAAAAATAAATTTTCTTTGGTGTACAATTTTTGACAATTTTGCGTGAAATCTTGGATAACTATTTTGGTCTGTAAAATGTTTATTTTTGTTTCAATTAATGAAAAATACATGTTGCATGCATATTTAGGATTTAATTATGCATTTGGGAACTAATCAAACCATAATTTGGTTTTAAAAGAAGAAAATCACAAAATATGCATTTAGTCTATTTTTTGTTATTTAAGTGTGCCATTGTGTGATTTTATTTTAATTAAATATTTTAACTTGCGTGTTAATTGTTGTTAAGGGGTTAATTAATATTTTGTAGTTTAATTTTGCTTTTACAATTTATTTTAGAATTTTTGTTAATTTGTTAATTAAAAGAAGAAAAAGAAAAGAGTTGAAAATATGAAGCAAATTGGATTTGGGCCAAAATTTTAAACCAAAAGCAGGCCCAAACGTCCCAATGACCCAGTCCAATGCAGTTCGTCTCTGAGACAGTCCAAACGACGTCGTTTCTGAGCCTCAAATCTGGACCGTTGATCAAACAGATCTAACGGTCCAGTTCAGCCTTTGCATAATTGAAATCCGTTTTGAGCAAGTTGATCTTAGCCGTCCATTTTCAATGATCTAACGGCCTCAACCTTTCCCCATAACCCGGTCCATTTTCACCCGGGTCAACCCAATCTCCCAATTAAACCAAACGCCACCATTTCCCTTAAGTGGATTGATCCAGGCCGTTGATCGTGCTTGATCCAACGGCCAGGATCAAATCCATCCCATGGTATATAACCCCAATCCCTTACCCCACGCCTCCCTAAGCCATACCCCCCCCCCCTTAGCCATCGTCTCTCTCAGAGACGACCCTGAACCCTCCGCCCATGACTACCGTGACTCCGCCTACCGGAAATCGCCTTACGGCGGTTCCGGTAGGCCAAACTCCGCCACTTTTACACCACGAACTCACCTCGACCTCCCCTTTCCACCCATCACCATAGCTCCCCTCGAATCAGGCCCCAACTCTTCGAATCTTAAATGGAAGGTTGGCCGGAAAACCTCACCTTCTCCGATGGCCGCCAAATTAACACCCTAAGACCTTCTAACCACCCCCAACCCAAATCCTTAAACCGTTTGGCTCGAATCTTTCTGGAACTTCTCGAATCTTCATTTGAAGATTCGAGCCAAACATGAACCTATCCCAACCGAGCCCAAATTCATACCCTGCACCCCCTGACCTCCCTAATCACCAAACCACCATTGGTTTGGTTCGAATCAGACCAGAACCATTCGAACCCCAACTCAGACCCCCAAGTACCCTAGAAATTCCAAATTGGGGTTTCATCCGAAATTGAAGAAATTGGGGTGTCAATCGACTTTAGTCGAGTGTTCTCAATCGAGAACACTCGATTAAAGTCCATTTTTACCCCAAAGAGGCTCGAATCTAAGTTCGAAATTGAGGTCGTCCAATTTCTGGGCATTTTGAGGTATTTTTCTTCTTTTCTTTTGTTCTTTTGTATTATTAATACCTGTTTATGTGTTTAGTCTTGTTATTTTTGATTTTTTCAATTTTTGTCAACTGTTCTGCTTCTTCTCCATCTGACCGTTTATTTGGTCTAAATTGTTTCTGTTTGTTTGTTTAAGTATACATTATAGGCTATATAATCGTTTAATTAATTTCGTCGATGAAGTAGTTTCCTGATTAGCCCCTGTTTTGTCAATATCACTAAAATCACCCGTGGATTGCTTGATCCTCTGTTTCTGATTGTTTAGTGTTAATTGTAATATGCAGTCGATTAATTAAGCTTCGTCGATTAGGTCGTTCGTATATATTTGAATCATTCGGCATTCTGATTGTTGTAGTTTTAAGTGTTAGCTGTTTAATTAAAATTCTGTTGGATAGTAAGCATGGTTTTGAATCACTGAAAATCCTGGCTTTGATGAATGTTTCTGCTTTAAACTACTGTTTGATTAACCTTAAGGATTGGTTATAGCTGTAATGATTATAGGAATAATCAAATGTTAGTTCTGGTTAGTTGTTAGGATTAAATAGATTTTTAAGAATTAATTGGTTTTAACACTGATCAATAGTTTAAGGGGCAGGGCAGTAACAACAGTAGGATTACAGGGGTATTTTGGGAATGGAAAATGGGCAGAATTGGTTAAGTTAATGGCCAGTTAGTCTAGCACTAATAAAACAGCTCATACATTAGTTTAATGTTAGTGGGGTATTAAACTAATAAGCTAAGGGGGAACAAGAGGAAGTGAGGGCTGAAAATAGGGAAAGACATTCCATAGTGGGTTTTAAGTGGAAATGTCCAGGTTTTGGGCATGAGGGGTCGGGTAAGTGAGGCTGTCAAAAGAAAAAAGGAGGTCTGTTGGTTGTTATAAAAGAAGGGCATTTGAGCATTAATAGGGGCTGGATTTTGAAGAAAAAGTCCAGAGTTAAAAGAGTGAATTGAGGCTGAAACTTTGAACACAAAAATTTTCAGAGTTTGAGTTAAAAAGGGACTGAATTTTAACATCAGAAATTGAGTGTTGGAGAGTTAAAAAACTGAAGAAATCTGCTTTCTTTCACTGTTGAAAATCAGTACTAGTGTGCTATTGTTTCATTGAAGTTTGAAGTTTCTTTTCTTTGAGTGTTTGAAAACCAGAAAACTGTTGTTTTCCTGCTTCTGGTTCTTTCGGATCCTGCCTGGGTTTGCTACTTGGTATACTGTTACTGTTTCATCGAACGTGCTCGGATTCTCTTTGGTTTTTTAATCTGTTCCTGGGTTTCCATTACTGTTGCTGTTGCTGTGTTGTTGCTATTGCTGCTTGGTTCTCATCCTCCTCTTTTCCTTGTATTCAAATACCAGGTACACTACTTCGAATCATCTCGATGTATGTTCATTGAAGTTAAAGTGAAATGGCCAAGGGATCTGTTGATTCCACTAATAAGAACCTGTATTTAGTTAATTTTTGTTATGTGTTTTTCTGTTATAGGAATGCTGTATGTATGCATAACTAGGACTGTTCTTTTATAAGATCACTGATTAGCAATAATAATGATGTGAAATGTTAGATTATGGAACTAAGATTCTTGAAATGGTGTAAACATTAGTCAATACAGTATGTATGTCTAATTTGAGCAATTTCTAGATTGTTGAACTATTGGATGCATGTCTGTAGGAATCTCACAGTTATTAGTTTCATGCTTTGCTAGTTTGTATAATATAGTTCGAAATCACATTCAATTCAAATTGATAAATAGTTAATGTGGAAAATCGATTTAATTTAGTTGATTGGTAAAATCTAGCTTTGAACTCACGAAAACTGGAATAGAAGTAATTTGAGGTTTGTGATTTTCGAGTCTTTTAGTAACAAAGATCCGTAAGTATTAGGCAAACATAAGGGCCATTAATTTTGTAGAATCAGCAGGTTTAACATATTTGAAGTGCGAATCAATATAGTAAGGCTAAGAACATTAATCCAATAGGCATGAGTCGAGCAAGACGAGTTAACGTTGAAGTTTAATAAACTTTCGAATAAGCATTAGTAATTAAGGTTAATTCTAGTTTCCAATAGTTGTAAATAATTAATTCCAATGGTTTATTCATCTAGCAATGTGGGTTTAAGTTAGTTATAAGATAATTAGTTTCTCTTGAAAATATTACTTGTCAATTCCGTATTTTATTTATAGTTTCAATTTTAGTAATATTCTTTTTCGTTAACAATGGTCTTAAGCTAGTAACTAATAAATGACGACCTTTTTAAGCATGTAATTAATTAGGACTTTTCTCTTTTATTTTTAGAGACAAACTTAAATAGAAAAAATGTAGTCACTCTAGGATTACCCTTTAAAATAACTGAGGCGTGCCTCGCCAAAATAAAACGCACAAGCGACGGGGCCCTCAATTTTAGTAATAACTACTTAGCTTTCGGAAGAGGCCGTTTAGCGAATATCCACGGCCTTCCCCAAATTAATAACACGATAGTCTCTTTAGGCGCGTGTTTAATAATCTTACCTTCTTAAATTCGGGTGTGCATTTCATGCGACCCAAATCCAAATCCCAAAACGTCGAATCAAATGTGTTCAGGATTGCGGGTGCATTTCATGTGACGCTATCCAAAGACACGTTTCAAACGACGTTCAACTTTCTTTAATAATTTGAATAAAAGCGGTTAATGGTTGGAATTGGCAAACTACTAGAGCGCCGACTTTCGGAAAGATCAACTATTCTGGTAAATTGGAACAAGCCTCCACCCCTATATGTGAAACTTAATACTGATGGATCGTGCATTCATGGTACATGTGGAGGAGGAGGAGTTGTTAGAGATGCACTTGGCAGATTTATTATGGCTTTCACTATGCCATTGGGACAAGGCACCAGTAATAGTGCTGAAGCTTCCTCATTTCTGTTTGGACTAGAATGGTGCATAAGGAAGGGGTACAATCTAGTCATTGGAGAGACTGACTCAATGCTCCTTCAAAATTGCATCAACGATACAGTTTCTACACCATGGAGATTGGAAGAGACAGTGAATAATATTAAGAAAATTGTGATGTCCAAACTAGACATTGTTTTAGAGAAGCCAACAAAGTTGCTGATAGATTGGCCTCTCTAAGTCGCACCATTGATGAAGTACACATAGATTTGCTCATAGGTCATTAACCTGTTACCCAGGTTAACAAAGTTATAATGAAGGCCAGGCCTAGCCCTCCTTCAACAAATGTAATTTGTCTTCAAGTGGCAATAAAATCGTAAAGTTCGAGTTGAAAAAAAAAAAAAAAAAACTTACTATTGCCACATGGAAAAACACATTTTAAATGAAATGAATGATCTCTTGCAATCGCTCTAAAAAAAAAAAAAAACAAGTTATCTACTTTATTTTCACGGTTATAGTATCTTTATAAATAATTATCTATTAATTATTGCAAATAACTTAACCTGATAGTTTTGAAAAATTATACACGGTCAGTGCACAGAACAAACATTTATCAGCTACTCCTTTCAGATAAATTTAATTTCTGTGGCACAAACCTCTCCTAGTGTTTTCTTGATTACCAAAATCTGCCATATAGTTTAGAAGGTATTTAAAATTCTCTAATTCTTAATTTCTGTTAATGAACTAATTTCAGCTTAGGTATACTTCTCTATCTACTCCAAATTGTATAATCTAAGCTTTTATAAAATCCTTTTTGAGTCGTGTGAATTTAATATGGACGTCCGAATAGAAAAGCTACATTCATATATAGTAGTAAAAACTTAATTATACTTGAACCAATTCTTTTTATTAATCCCTTTATCCCAATTTTTTACAAAAAGAATTTCTCTGTGTGAAATGGCTTTGTTATAATAAATCAGAAGTAAAGGTTTTCACTCCAAAACTACCCTTCATTGAATAAAAGTTAGAAAAGGAATTGGGGTCCCTTCATTACTTGTACTTCACCATAAGTGAAAGAATCTTTTAAGAAAAGTACTACCTTCTTTCACTTTTAATTGTCCACTTTTGATTTTGCCCGCCTCTTTAAAAAATGAAATTTATTTTATAATTTTACCTATAATAATAATAGCGTTTCAAAAACTCTTGGAAAATCAATATTTAATGATAGGAGTAAAACGGAAAAAAGAATTATTTTTTTCTTGATTTGTTAAAATGAACAAGTAAAACTGAAAATATATTTTAGTATAATGAACAAGTAAAAGTGAACGGATGAAGTAACTACTATAACTCAATGGTAATGATTCTCGGGTAGAGTCATTAATTCATTAGCGAGAAGGGCAATGACGAAATAACATGACAAAAATATACTATTATAGACCATATAAAAGAACAAAAATGATTTAAAGAAACTAAAAATTTGCTACAGAATGTACTCTTTTCTGCCCTTTTCTCCTTTGCCTTAAACCTTTTCTTTTAGAAGATTAGAGTAGCTCAATAGTAATATATACAGAGAAAGAAGGTTCAACAATATCTAACAGGCTAATATAGTAGTCCCTCGAACCTGCACGGATGTCCTTTTCTGCAATAAGTAGGGAAAGTAGAAAATGGAACAGTTAGTACAGACTACATAGAGGAAGCACACAGCCATAAGTATGTTGTTATAGTGACGGAAGTCGGTAGCCATACCTTAAATTCTAACACTACGAGAAGTAACGATGAAGCAACTGAGCTGCTGAAGGACGCTGCTGCGGATCCTTCTTCAAGACCTGACAAATTATTTCTCTGAGAATTTCATCTACCTTTTCTTCCGGAATTTCACCAGATTTCTTCAACTCCTCAAATTGCCTGGCTCTTTCATATCCAGTTCCCATTGGACATGACAACTCAAAAAGCACTAATCCGAGTGAAAACATGTCGGATTTTGTGCTAATTAAACGGGGATCAATAGACAACTCGGGGGCTCGATACATCATGTTACCCAATCCATCCCCAAAAGGAATTGAGCCATCTCGAGTGTTACGAGCTAAATGAAAGAAAAAGAAAAGTTAAAAAAGCTACAAGTTATTGTAGAAAAAAGAAAAGTTAAAACGCTGCAAGTTATTGCTATGATCCAGCTTACTTAGTACTCCATCCATTTCAATTTAGATGATGTAGTTTCACTTGGCACAAAGTTTAAGAAACAAAAGAAAGACGTTTGAAACATGTGGTCCTAAAAGCTTGAGGGGCAAAAGCTTTGTGGGACCATAATATTTGTATAGCTATAAATTTTCTCATTAAGGGTAAAGTGGGTAAAATGAAAAGTATAAAATTAAATTGTTTCTTAATATAAAAATGTGTCATTCTTTTTGGAACGGACTAATAAGGAAAGCGTGTCATTTAAATGGAAACGAAGGGATAGTTAAAAAGTTAGTTAAACTCAATTAACGATTAAGCTAGCTGATTAGGAGTAAGGAGTAGTAGACGTGGATGGCTAGGATTAGACTTGTATTTCAATTACCAACAGTTCAGATATGAAGAACAACACACATAAACATCACGTGCAAATGGATTGGCTCCGATTTTGGATGATTTCAATCAGGGGTGGCTCAACCCTAAAGCCAAGGTCCCCGAAAATTAAGGCCCCAAATAATTATATACTCCCTCCGTTCCAATTTATGTGAACTTGTTTGACTTGACACGGAGTTTAAGAAAAAATGAAGACTTTTGGAATTTATGGTCCTAAGCAAGTCAAAAGGGGGCCCAGAGTATTTGTTTGGTTATAAAAGCTTCTCATTAAGGGTAGAACGGTAAGTTTAAGCAAAATCGTTACCAAATTTAGACAGAGGTCATTCTTTTTTGAACGGACCAAAAAAGAAATAGATTCACATAAACTGGAACAGACTCCGTTCCAATTTATGTGAACTTGTTTGACTTGACACGGAATTTAAGAAAAAATGAAGACTTTTGGAATCTGTGGCCCTAAACAAGCCAAAAAGAGGGCCAGAGTATTTGTGTGGTTATAAAAGCTTCTTATTAAGGGTAGAATTGTAAGTTTAAGCTAAATTATTACCAAATTTAGAAAGTGGTCATTCTTTTTGGAACGGAACAAAAAGCAAATAGGTTCACATAAACTGGAACAGAGGGAGTATATATTATTAGTGAAAAATAAAAATTTGTAAGCATATGTTGTCAATTTTTTATCAAACACTAGGTCCATATTTTTAAAGTTTATAAATAAGTAAATTTTAAAATATGATTAAATGTAATTACGATTGAAAATAGTAGGTAACAAAATTTGTAGCTACTTCCTATCTTAATTTTGTCTAATGCATTTAATTTTTTCAATTCTTTGAGTATCTATTTAAATATTTTCAAGCTCAAGCTAATTAGATTATTAAATGATTAGATTAGAAAAATGTGTTGTCCTATAGCTTTTTTCCTCCTAAAAGCTTGGCCAAATACCTCAACTTCTTAAAAAAGATAGTACTTTTTTTTTTTTTTGAAGAAAAAGCATTTTTGCCTTTGGAGAAGCTTGGCCACATATGCTATTAACCTTCGAATATCTTTTGAAGCATAATGATATATGAAATTGATGGTTCTACCTATTTTTGAAATTAAAAGTGATAGGGAAATTGTACAAATAGACGATGATACTCTAATTTGCATATGTGAAGTCTTAATTCTATTTTTTTAAATGTTTCTATTACTTATAAAATAATTTTAATATTTTCTCTATCAATTGCCTCAATTGAAAAAAGTTTGTAAATTAAAATCAATACGAACTTAAGATCAACAATGACTCGTGAAAATTACACATACTGAGCATATTGACAAGTGAAACAAAATTGATTATCCAAATATAATTAACTTTCTTGTATTTTAGGAAACTATAAAAATAAACACCTAATAAAATATAAAAAATATTACTAAAAAAATTAGGGCCTCTTTAAGTGTTTGTTTTAAGTCACATATATATTCGATTGAGCCGCCACTGATTTCAATTGGGATGAAGAAGTTGAGAAACTCATGCTAAAGAAGTTCATTTAATGGTTTTCCTTAATTGGTTATTGCTTGTTGGGGCATAAAAGTTATAACCTAATTAATACTGACGGAACAAATAAATAAACAAACAAAAGGAAATGGAATAAACAACTTACCCAAGCCAAAATCTCCTATTTTAATATGATCATGATCATCCAAGAAGATATTGTCTCGAGACAAATCTCCATGAATAACTCCCTTTTCATGGATGAATTGCAATCCCTGCAGCAGCTCTTTGAGATAGCGGAACACAGGCACCTCCTTCTCTATCTCTGCTTCCAGTCTAGCATGAAGGGTGCTAAAGATACAAATAATAAAAATATGTGAGAACTTTTATGTATTAATAATTGTTTGGAACTAATTAAACTTTACAAACCTTGTGCACAGCTCCATAGCAACAAACAAAGTATGCGTTGCCTCTCTCATCTCATCAGATGACAAAGTATGCGTTGCCTCTCTCATCTCATCTTCATCTGATGATGATCCCACATCGGAAACACCAAGTTCAATCCAACACTGAAAATGAAAGGGAACAATTCAAATAGTCAATTCATTTTGTTCTATTAAATTGTTGCAATCCAAATAAAGTTTATATGGAACCAAAAATAAAACAGTATTGTAATTCCCTACCCCGAGCATACTTTAAACATCACTAAAGTAGCAAACTGAATTCTGTAATGAGAATTTAAGTAATGTCGGAGTGACTTTGGTATTCTTACAAGGAAAAGTTTCTTGCGTTCCTATCCAAACTTGGAATATAGTGGCATAAAAGATACTAACATGTTTCTTTATATAATGGACAAGTTAAAACAATGGACAAAATTGTAAACAACCACTGATTTGCAAATAATATTTGCATATAATATTTGCAAATCTGTTACCAAACGCCTAGTAGCTAGAGCTTCTAATCACTAACACTACCTACAAGAATTGGAAACCCATTAACTGTCTTTCTCAACTTACATTAGGATTACTTATTAGTCAAGTATAAGGTTACTTAACACTAAAGAACTTCTAGAAAGGAACTAGCACAACCGCCACTTGCAAGTTCTATTTAAAGGGCTATGTAATGTCAGAACACCGGCCTTGTCAAACTTGTTTCCAGCATTTCAAAGCTACAAGAACAATATGTAAGTGCTTTTTCTTCCAAATCCATCTTATCCTTAGTTTAAAAGTTTTCCTTTGTGACAAATAATCCTTGCATCATTAGTCTCTATCTATTCTTTACCTAGTTCATATGATATATGTACAGGGAAAAGCATAATAATTAAGTAGTGTAGCATTGATGTGAAAATCCCTCGTCTTTAAGCGGCGTAAAATTAAGGCAAACATGACAAAAAATTACACTATTTTTTATTTATAGATTCCTGAAGAGTTCATTAGAAACAAGTACCAAGATATATTAGTGCTAAGAACCTAATGCCAGTAGAAATCTATCCATATCTAGCTTTTCATAACTAGCATGATTTCAATTGAAATATGCATGTTTTAGATAACGAAAAATAACCTTTTCATAATTCTAAAAATGTCTTAAGTATATATATTATAACCTTGCATGTGTGAGGATAAGTACATGCTTGTGCTGATGAGTTTCGGCTTAGGCAAACATTTTAAATGTGTATCTTGGTACTAATTTTATGATATGATGCATAATGTGTTTTCCTATGGTGACATGTGAAAGCCTGCTTCAGATTACCAGAATCCTGTTCCAAACTTGGTTATATTTTCTCGGCAGAATAGCCTGGGAGACACTTGTACTTGTTCTGGTTTGTCATCCCGGTCCCTACACTCTATAAAGTTTCATCTGGACACTTCAACTCAATCAAAACAAGACTTTTAAATCCTCCGGAATAGCGTGATGCTCACTTGCTTGACGTGGATGACAAATCAGCATCCACATCAGATTTTATGCCAAAATAATACTCCCTCCGTTTCAATTTATGTGAATCCATTTGACTGGGCACGGAGTTTAAGAAAAGGATGAAGACTTTTGATCTTGTAGTGTAAAATGAGGCACATATATTTTGTGTGGCTATAAATCATTGTGTAAAGGTAAAATATTTCCAAATAAGGAAAGGGGTCATTCTTTTTGACACGGACTAAAAATGAAATAGGTTAACACAAATTGAAACGGAGGGAGTATTATTTAACAAAATTTTAATTTCTGAGACAAAAAATAAAATAAGCAAAAAATTAAAATTAAAGAAAACCCCTCCTCCCTTCTTCAAACCCACCTGCCATGGCTTCTCCACCTGCCATGGCTTCTCCCCCAAGTACCACTATTTTCTTCGCTCCTTTTTTAAAGAAAGTTAGTTATCCATGAAAAATACATGAGCAGAGAATTAAGTCTTTTGAATTTTAACTTATTCCTCTACCCCAATTTGAAAGGACTGTGAAAAAATTTGAAAGCTAAAACCACCAAAAAAATGGAGGAGTCATATAGAAGGGGAAGATGACATTGAAGAAAAGAGGAGGGGGGAAGGAGGCGCAAAACGAAGGGGGAAAGGGCTGAAG